CCTTACTTTTCTGCTGCGGGCACGCAAAATTTATTTTCGATAAATTTTGTTAATTTGTTAATCAAAACACCATATTTTCAGTATTTCATAAGGGTCCCAGGTTTTAGTAGTAAGAAGATTTACTTTTACTTGTCCTTACTTTTCTGCTGCGGGCACGCAAAATTTATATTCAACCAATTTGGAATATACCGTAGATATACATTTATGTATATTACCGGAATATTTGTTTTAAACATACTAGGTATATTCACCTACACGTATACACAATATGTACATACCTGGCATGTTCATCTGCACATATACCCAATATGTACATATATGTACATACCTAGGATATACTTTTTATGAACTTTGATGAATATACATGCATGTATATTCCACGAACATTCATGTTACGAATGTTCAACCATGTATATTCCCAGGATATTCCCGCAATGTTCTGTATATTTTTTGAACATTCTGGGATATTCATAGAATATCAAATGCTATCTGGGAAGAGTTTTATTGACTGTTAGAAATTCAGTAGTTCCCTTGCTCTAGTTGAGTAGTTACAAATTTCGAGCAGAGAGCGAGTTGCGCAAAAAATTGCGCTTTTTCCACCCGGCTTTAGGCAGGAGGAAAAATAGAGTATCGGCGCGATTTAAATAAAATCTTAAGAATTGTCGGACTAGATGTCTCTATATTAATAGATGAGTCGTTGCTGGGTTTGAAAAGAACGCTAGACGTGTGCAACTATTCGTTTTTTGACGTCGTGAGAACAAAGTAAAGGTTTAGCGCAATTTTCGTCAAATTTTCACGGTTTTCAGGCTCAATTATCGTCTGTAGATTGTGCCAAAAAAGCAAACAAAGCAAATTGTGTGAAAAAAAATTTCAGCTTTTATGCCATGGGAAAAAAATCAGGATTTAGTGCAATTTTAAATAATTTTTCAGCGGTTTGAGAAACTTTCCTTTTCTATAGACTGTGAGAAATCCAATAAAACCTTCTTCTTTCAACTGGCTTTTAGACAGTCGAAAGAAGAAAACTAAATAATTCGTTCTTATTGCGAAATAGGAGCACTATTTATCAATCTGTAATAAAAACCGTGAGGAAATTCTGTCTTATTTAAAGACACAAATTTTTGAGGCAAAATACCCAAAAAGACTATATATAGTCGGGCAACTTTTTGACTACTTTGA